TTTAACTGCGTTCATGTACATATTGACGTTGACGAAACACAAAAGTCTTCCAAATATTTCTTTAAATTGATTTAGGATATTATATTTTGGTCCGTTTAATAACCGTGTTACTCGTTTAGGCCAGAGCGTTGCACAGATTCACCATTAATTTTGGGTTCTTTGCACATTCCTGTGTAACTGGATATACGCGTTGTAAATGCATTAAGATTTTATCATTAAAATAATTTGTAACATTTAAGTCATATTTGTATATATTTTTAAAATTGTCATTGCATTGCAAAATCGACCTTGTTAATTTGATCATAATCTTAATTGATACTTTATACCGTTATAAGGGATATCAAAGCTGTAGGGGGGTAAACAAAGTATGGCAGTTTCAACAGCTTGCATAACATTGTCTCAAAATAAATCTGGGCATGTCATGTCATGAGACGATCTTCAATAAATTGTATTAATTATTGTGCTGTCGGTATTTACATTAGTTATAGGAATTCTTCAAAGAATTTCAAATCGAACTTACTAACATTCTATAGATATACTAAATATATGATTAAAAAAAGACATTCGCGGAGGTCTTAATAAAAACTAATCAATACAATCAATTTCTTTTAAGTGGTTTATCAGGCTACAGCTTAAAGATTAAACAAAAAGATTCAACTTATTTAAATATAAGGAGCTCTCAATATGCAGTTGCTACAGAATACCTTTATTCCAATAGAAGAAAATTAAGGTTTTATATCTATAACTTAAAGGCATATTTTTTTGAAAAATTTTAATGACATGTACTATGTAACCCTCTGCGAGATAAAGCATTGAACATGTTTATGATACTAGTATGTATTTATAGAATAAAAAAATCGCCAAAGACTTATCATTAACATTAAATTTTGCTAATTTAACAATTTAAAAATTACTTTTATAAAATTTGAAAAATTGAAATCACCATGGAAAACAAGGTTTCCTAAATGCAGCTTAACAATGTCCAATAGCAAAAGAATCAAATGGGCATCAATGGGGAGGGGTCAGTTAAACTGGGAGAAGAAAAGGGTAATTATTAACTAAAATGGAGTTAAGGTTTGATTATAAGCATAGGTATTTATGTACCTATGTTTAATGTATTCTTATGATGTTTGCTCTTTTTTTACCTTTTTTTGTTTTATGACACGGTGACCGTGAAATATGTAAAATGAGAACAACATTTTAGTTATTAATCTATAGTCTTGATTGTATAATTTAATAAAAGATAATCAAAATTTTGAAACAGATACACTGTCATAAAATATTTCATTAAAATATAAATACGAATATAAAAATATAAAATACGAATGAAATGTAAGTACATGTAAAATATCATACAAATAATAAGTTTATAACACAAAGCAAATGGTTTGGACAACAAGTTCCGGTAACATTAGATAAAGTTAGTTTCCTAACCATCGTTCCTGGGTAGTTACACTTGTACTAGATTACCTTCCTCCGTGCTAAACTACCAAAGCATCTCCCGGGGATCGAACCAACGCCAGAGAGGTAACTGGATTGGAAGTCAAGGACTCTAACCCCTCGACTACGGAGGCAGTATTATTACAAAAACAGTCAAGACTACTTTAAGAGACCAACGGGAATGAAAAAAAGGTCACATTTGACAAGGATCTCTTAAAGTCTTCCCCAACCATGGAGCCGACATTGGTTTATAAATATACATGTATTATGGCTAAATACAGACTTATTCCAATGAAACAAGTACATGATTTATAGACCCCTTTTTAAGATAAGGCATTTAATTGATTATATCCCATTTCTTAAATTTCATTTTTAAAGAAAAACTCATAAAGTATAGTACAATGTAGATAGTTTTGCGACGGTCATGTAAGGGTTCTTAGATTCAGATAGTACAATAATATCAGTTCCCGCTGGCAACCAGTATGCTGTGTTAGGCTAACTATTACTGTCATATACTGACACTTGGGCATGGTCCCGGACATAAGCTTGAGAAGGGATACGTGTATTGGATACATCTGCACTGACAGAAAGGTCATGAAATAAAGAAAAACTATTACATACATCACTAAAATTGTTTATTTTTTACCGGTCTGAACTCGAATTGTGTTGCATTGTTAACATTAGCGACATCATAAAGTGGTCGCCATATTGTCGTGACCTTTACGAGTGTCAGAATGAGTTATCGATTTTTTTCCAATGCTGTTTTCAGATAATTTTAATATAATCAGTCTGAGGCTGCGAGTAAAAATTAATTGTACTGAATCAAGGTAGTCCAATGAAACAAGTACATGATTTGTGGGTTAATAAATTATTAGCTTTCGTTGGACAAACACTGCGATCTATTTTTAAACGAAAACGTTTGTTAACAAGTTTTCTTTCGGTTTATCTTTTATTGATTAGTAGAAATCTTCGCCAGGAGGGGGATTTTAGACTTATTTGGTGTAAGAAAGGTAAGTAATTCTGCTTAGGAAAGTAGCCGGATACCAACAGAAGCAAGGGGGAGGCTCTGCGATGTAATAAACAATACCCTTTTTGTGTAACGTTTCGGGGAGCGATCCAAAGTCGGTAAAAACAGTTTAAAAGGCAAATTTGGAGTTGGCTGTCACAGTCGTTTGTCGCGTAAGACAAGGAGTCGCTTTATTTAAACTAAATGTATAGTATATTGCGTCGGGGGCATACAATCATGGCGCATATGACAGGGAGTCGTTTAATTTAGGGGTTCGTTAAGACAGTCTCGACTTTATACGGTGCTTGTTTAAAACGCATTCAAACAATTTTGTGTATAACTCGAGTACCATCTGCTGTTAAAGTAACTGAATATTTTACTTGTTTGACAATTTTCTGCAATTTTCTGCATCTTTCTGCATCTTTCTGCATCTTCCTGCAACAGTAAGAAATAAAGACTTGACACATGTAGAATAGCAAAAGAAAAACGAATCCATAAGCAAACATCAAAACGGCAAAATTTAAAATGTTGCATGTTTGGTTTGATTGGGCAAGTTCAAGCTTGGACGTAATTCAACGATTAAAATGAAATGGTACACGATTGTCTTTCGAAACATCCACAGATGTGTTTAATGTACGGAGATTATCTTGGAACATTCAATGTGACAAGCTCTAAAAGGTAAACGAAGGGTGATTATGCAGTCGTCAGGTAGATATACTACTATACTAGACAAAAAGCCAAAGAGAAGTAACTATACCATAAACACACTAATATTATTTTGCTTTACGATCAAGAATCGGAAATATAACACATTTGACTGACTGGAACTTGCACTTAAATATCCAAAAACATATCTCATATATTTGATAATAATCCAATCTTTAAAAATGCTTCTTTAAAAAAGAAAAGAAATGGAATCACTAAAGAACGCAAAAACATCAAAATTAAAAATGTTGCAGGCTCGGTTTCATTGAGCCTTTTCATTGACAGAACTAGAAAGTGCAAGTTACTGTGTACGTTCCCTAGAACTGGCTTAAGATTTTTGTATAAAAACGAAAACAATTTTTCGTCCCAAAATGAAAAATAATGAAAGAAATTGCGACAAAGACATACCAAAATTATTTCAAAGAATCAAGTATATCTTTAGCAGTATTGCTTATATAGTCTGAGACAACTTCTTCCGATTTTCGAATACATGTAATTGCATGAATTTATGAACAATGCATCGCGACTCACATTTATTATTACAGTAAAAGTAAACATAAAATGTCTAAACTAAGAACAAACGTTATGTTGCAATATTAAATTAAAATAAATCTAAATCGATATTGGCAACAATTAGATAATCTTTGCAAAGGACGCTGAGCCTTTTATTAGTATTTAGCTTACGGCATACTGGCTTACTCTTAAAGCTACATGCTTCCAGTTGAGCAAAACTCTGAAATTCTAACCTCGGACTTAATTTGTGTATTTTATTAGATTCAATATCATCAACATACAATTTCGTATATATAGATAGTAAAATCATTTGAAAATCGAACCACAAACGTTTTTATTATGACCAAGAACAATATTTTATGAGAGAGAAATAAAGAATTTACGAACTTGCTGTACTGAACCTGTTTATACATGCCTTAAGCACCGGTAAAATTATTGCAAAAAAAATAGATTGTTATCTTCGGATTTACAATATAGCACACGTGACAAATTTGCAAACCCCATGATTACACAAAGTTTAAGTTAAGATAACCACGCACAATTTGTCATATTCAATCCAGTAACTGAGAAATATCAATCATGGCAAGTACCTGTTCATTACTTTGTAATAATTTGTATTCCTAAAAATTTCTTTTGCTTCATAATTTTTATTTTCTTGTTTGCTGTAATCTCAAAAATAATTTAACTCCTCAAAAATGTTTTAAAAAAAATTGTGTTTTTTTAATATTTCCTTAACTAGTACATTTGCTCTTCAGCTAAAAAAGTCACAATCGAATGTTGAAATAGGTCAACCATTAACTGAAATAAAAGTGGATTTGCTGAATGATTATATAAGAAATCTTTTATTTTACTACGAACAAATTTATAATTTCAGAAGCATCTCTTATCATTTATAGATTTTTAGCGTTGCGGAAAATGTCATTTATGTTTTTAAAAATTTCTTTTTCAAAGTTGTCTAATAATGTTTATAATGAATCTGTAAAATATTTTTTTTTTTTTTGGGGGGGGGGGGGGGTGGTGGTGTTCGAACGGTTATTTCTATGTTAAATACAAAGAAATCTAACACAAAGTCATTCTCATTGCATATATAAATATAAACAAAATAAGATAAGATAAAACAAATTTTAATACAATAATGTGAATATTCATGTGTAACGAATTGTTAATATATTCACTTCCTCTTATAACATTTCAATTTAATAAACAACTATTTTCTGTGTATAGAATATGTCACAATTTTTTTTTTGGAAATGTAGCACTAAAAACGCTGGTGTATAGACGAAAACGGTTAAATTTGTCTTAAATCTGTGAAATATATTTTATTTTTTATGTATCAGGGATGTTCATGCCTAACAATAATAGTTGGAATAGTGTTAATACATATTTCAAAAGCAGGTATGTAAAATTCTTATTGTAAATACTTAATATGATATCTGACAAATTACATATCACAGTTTAAACGATTGTAAGCCTTTAAAATCCGCCCGTATTAAGTCTTTTTAACAATTTCCTGTATGGCATATCACATGTATAGATAACAAAAATATTGTATACTTCAAAAGTGTTTCCTATGGTTAGTTTCAAAAAAGAAATCAAGCAATTGAACAATTAAACTCCATCGTGCAGGAATGTATTTTTTTATAATACTGTACTTTTGTAGCGTGGACATTCATTGTAAAGTGATGTCTATAAATAATGTTTTTGCAACAATTATGAACTATTTTAGACTTTGTTTGATATAACAGGACAGTATTATGTAGTATTATATATTAGTTAGATAATCTTTTTTATTGGCTGAATGATCCTGTAAACGGGCTGACAACAATATAATGAAGATAAAAGCTAAATAAATAAAAGCTCATTTAGTATCTGCATATTAAGACGAGTTTTTGTATTTGAGAATTACGTTTTAAGAAGTAATTTCTTGATCTAACAATTTTGTGATTGAAAATAGATGTCTTGTTACACTTACCCTTATTCTCTTTACTACCATAGAAAACTTTTATCAGGTCATACAGCTGATAAGAAAACGTAGTTTGATTGTTTGTTGTATGATAAATATGAGCTACGTGTGACTTTCTTTTCAAGCTCTACCAACTGGATGTACTAGTGGAACTCCGACTTGCCCCGGCAATTCCGCTTGTAAGACAGATGCGTGTGTTTGTAACGACGGTTTTAAGCTTGACTCAACAAAAAATGGATGTGAAGCAAAAGGTAAGTGTTCGTGCACGAATTAGGTTATATATTTATAAAATTGAATTTATTAGATTTTAAAAAGAAAACAAACCTGTCCTTCATGGCTGCCCAACAGAAGATCATCATTTTTAAATGTTCCGGGAAGGAATATCTTATCCGAATGACTTTAAAAAACTAGTTAAGTGATACAAGTCACTTAGTATAATAACATTCGACGCAAATCCATCACTTTTCCTAGATTAGATACGTAAGATAAATTCATAGTGACTTAATTAGGTACAAAACCTCTACGGAATATTAATATGAAATGCTACATGATATCAGATTGTACAAATTTTTATCTTTATTAATTAATCGTCACGTCAGTATTTGCTTTAGATTTATTTTTGTATCTTAGTTAACCACATAATTGATATACTCCAAAACAAACTTCATAGATTTAAGTACCATAATACACTACTTGGAATATGATTGTATCACAAAATATAATGCTTCAAATTATACCATACCTTTTTTCAGTATTTGGTGATTCTTGTGATTCAACAAACGGTTGCACAGGTTTATTGAATACCGCTTGTACAAATAGCAAATGCGAATGTGCTGCCGGATATGCAAACAAGAATTCTGTTTGAACCAAAGGTAAATATTCAAATTACTAATTAAAACAGAAATGAATTAAAAAATCGACTTTAGGTGAATAGTTTTAAAAGCGTGCATTGTTTCTTCGGCACGCGAATATACAAAGATATTAAAAAGTCATTGAAACTACTTTAGATAAGATATTTAGCTAATTTCAGCAAATCGTTCAAATTAAACTTTAACATACATTTAAATGCAACATTTCAATGGCATGCATAAATATTTAAGTGTATGAAGTCAATATTTTACTTTGAGATGCTAAATCTAACGTAGCTCTCCGAATTGTAACACAAAAAGTATTTAAGCTAAAGCTTTGAAACGTCAAAGGTTGATAGATCTCACGGAAGAGGTTTGAAGAGCGCGGAGAAAAAAATGGCTATATATCTAAAACGATTTAAATCAAGTGTTATTTGTTACTTCAAATTTTATCCATAGCAAAAGTGATCACAGTTGTATGTAAAGTTGCAGAAACTGAATGTGTTAACATTGATCATGCTGACTTCGAAAATCAGAAATATAAATGCAACGCTGGTTATACATATAAGACACGAATGTAGGAAGCACGTGTGTACAAAAGTGAATGAAATATATACACCAACAATCTTCATAAGTTTAATTTACTTGAGTATGTGCAGGTTGTCAACAAGACATGCATTAATTTAAGCTGGTGTTTGACTTGTATCATGCCAATATACATACATTTGTGAAAAACAACTGTCATATCACCGAAATATTGTTCATGTGCACTGTTAAAATAGCTTAAGCCTGAACTTTTTGATAACTAGTGTCGACTCGGTTTAAAAAAAGAAATATGTTTATAACAAATTGTCTTATATACTCATAGCAAGAGTATCTGAAGTTTTTTTTTTCTACACCACGGAGTTATAAATGCAATAATATTTGAATTTAAAAGAAAGGCAAAAGCAACGACAAATACATTATTATGTTGTCTGTAAAATATTTGGAGAATAACCCAGGAAGCATTGGTTGGCAAGAATCTGAAAAAAGTGCGTATCTATGATAGGTGCATGTTTTATAAGAATGCAAGTTTTTCGGCTCGAAAAGATTTAAAACACAAAGCTAATTTCAGCAAATAATTTACGATTAGACTGTTTGTTAATAAACACTTAAATGCAATATTACAATGATGCACCGCAATAGTTTAAAGTCTTTAAAGTCTGAATTATTAGTCATATATTTTGTAAAGGAATAAATAAGACCTAATTTTGTAAAGGAATATGTCAGACCTACCATACTGATTTAAACCTTTAGCTTTTTCCGTTTTCTTTTAAAAATGTCAACCTTAACTTCTGCAATTAATTTCGTCTCGTCTTTATTATTTCGTACCTTACTTGCAGTTATTGGAGGATCATGTTCAGGAACTGCTGCATGTCCTGGTGACGTTAATACAATTTGCAAGAATTCATTATGCGCGTGTGCTGATGATTATGTAGAGAAAACCAACGTTTGCACAAAACGTAATTTTGTTTTTATTTAATGTACATGTATTTAGGACGTATCTATTGACGCTTTGTTTAAAAAGAATTTGCAGTCAGTAAACGAACTTAGTTATATAAATAGGAAGGATTTGTGTGTTTGAGGTATGTATTATACTCAATATTTACTTTGTTTTTAGCATGTGTACATACTGTGACTCATTATTTTACGTAAAATGGATTGCAGATGGAATGCGTCAGACGGTGACATGCATTTTATATGAAATAAATTTAATGGTCCTGTAAGAAGAAACTACGTTAAAACTACGGTCCGGTGTAAGATTGTCGAACGTACTTATTCAGGATATTATGTAGATTGATCTACGTACACATGCTAACAAAAAAAAAACAACAATCAATACAACATGTTTTCTATAAGGAAAAGGTAGAAGGAAAATGTTTTTATTTATAAATTATTTATAGGGTATATCTTCAGTGCAATTCTTTTGTCCAGGCTATGACTCAAAATGTTTAAGAAAAATCAGCTTGAAACTGGATAGGTAAACAAACTCTCATATACAAATTTTGTACTTTTTTCATTGCCTTTTAATGTGTATTTAAATGTCAGTGTTTGCATTTTAAATCGTGTTGTTACAATTTTCTCTTGTTCGGCGGGGGATTAGGCAGTTTGTGACTGCTAGCTAGTATCAGTGAAAATGAAAAGTGAGGAACAAATTATGATTAAAAATTTTGTTGCGATTTCATGTTGTTTTAAAAACCAAGCAAGTCAAAAAATGTTTGATGCAAAGTTGGAAAAGTAGATGTTATGACTAAAGAAACATTAAATGCCCAACCAATAGAATTATTGATATCAAACAGTGAATTTAAACCTTTTATAAGTAAACCCACTTTGAATGTCATGATTATGGACAATTCATGAAAGATTGTCATTGAGTATATTCACTTCTTTCCAAAGGCCACTGATTTCGTTATAGAAAAACCTGCCTTTGAATATGAGTGTATTTCTTTCAATGCCAGATAGTTAACAATGAAGATAAACAAAATCTTATTTTCGCATCTGACTTTTTGGGGGAAACTTCAAGCATATTATGTAAAGAGCGGTTGGTTTATTGATAAATCGATACCAACTCCCTTAATAATGTTGTATTTATTTGAAGATTTCTTTTTTTTTCTTAACTTAAACTGTTAAAAGTTAGCAATATTTGAATAAAACAAATGTGTTATGACCAAGAACAAAATTAACAATATAAAACTAAAAGTAAAAATAAATAAGATTTACTTAATGATTAAAGTCTTTTATTATCATATTAAGTCTAAGATCAAGCAAAGTCATATTTAATTTTGACTGTTTAAACTTAAGCAACCATTTTTCTGAAAACGGAAATTATTAGAATAATTATACTTTTCTCTTGTTTAGCAAGGGTTTCTTCGATAGCGTGTCCTACAGGTAGTGAGTGTAATAAAATTGGTCACTCAAAATGCGACACTCCAAATCATAAAATTTAATGTAAGTGTGGTGCTGGTTATGTTGAAAATTCTCCTGAAGGGGATACCTGTGTTCAAGACTCCCAACAGACCAAACGTAAGCAATACAAATAAAGTGATATTTGATGATAGAAGAATGTACATGTAATGAACATAAAAAATGAGAACGTCTTAAATCTATTTTACAGTTTCAATATCAAATATACTCTGTAAATGAAATTAAATATTTTTAGTTTGTTTAGAAAGAACAATCGTATTAAACGATCAGCCATAAAAATAGATCACATAATAAATTACACACAATTATAATCATTTCTTTACTACGATTTGTAAATATTGGGAATACAGGATTAGTAAATTAGTTGAATAACGAAGAAGTCAAATATCCTCTATAAAACTTCAGCGTGAATACTTATTCTTAAATCATCAGTACAGACGAACACATAAAAAATAGGCTCATACAATGCGTTTCGTTTGTCAGGTAAACACTAAAACAATTTTGAATTTATGTTAACAAATCATGTCAAAGTCAAAATTCTTCTTCTCAGGTCATAACATGACAACATGATAACTATTATAGTAAACATTCTAACGCTTAAAAGTGGTTTGAGGTAATCAAAGTCAATATATTTATGTAGACCTTTTTCAGTATGCACACTTTCTCTTCATTTGTCCGTTGATATTGATATATGAAATTGAGATATCTAGGCACGATTGAAATGAAATTTTTGCGCAAGCACTAAAAGGTGAAAGAACAGCAATCAAAAAAAATCTCTTTTATTTAAAGTGTATGTACCACAAAATCTTCGAAAAATAGCACCTCCAACGCTTTCTATCAGTTGATAAAAAAGAAAACATTTTTATATTTTCCACACCGTTGTTTTCATGCAAAAGCTTATTCCAAACATGATGATGAAAATTGCAATTCGACTCAGTCTAAAGCATTATCTTTATCCCGTTCTGAAAAGTAGTATTGCTTGATGCATTATTTTGTATCCCTTTGTGAATGAGAAAGGTCGGTAAGGCATGTCAAATGATTTACGGAAGGTAAACGATAGGACGATATCCAAGAAAGTAGACATTGTCAGAAAATCCAATATTTTTCTCTTCTTTCTTTTTCTGTTATTAAAAAATGATTTTTCTTTTTAAATTAGTTTGGAACAATGATTAAAATATGTTACACCTTTTAAATCGTTTACCTTTGTTGATTTACATAAATATGTATGATGTTTTCTACAAAGAATAAGAAATACATTTCAAATACAGTTATTTATAATATCAGTAAATGAACAAAATATTTGAAAATCAAAATACATTTTATAGTACGTGAGTTCATTTTATAAGATAAATTGTTCCTTTGCATTTGAAATTTTTTCACATGTTGATGTTTAAGCAGAAACTTGCGCAAAACAATCATAATACAAATCAAATAGAGAGATACAAAACAAGTTTCCTTCATTTGTCTCCAAGATATTTAGATGAACACTCATTGATATATAAGTAAAAAAAGCGGGCAAAGATAATGTTTAAATTTTGCAAATTTAGCAAGGATATCGTTAGTGGATTGTCCTAAAGGGAATGAATGTGTAACCAACCAGTATGTTACACTACAACAAATAAGCGTAAATGTAACGCTGAATTTGATGAAGACTCTAATGAGGGCAGTACGTGTGTTGCTCAAAGTTATAGTAGACTAAGTCAAATTAGTCAGACATAATAAGTGGAAAATTATAATCAAATTTTAATGTTATCAACGGCATAGAGATTTTGTTAGCAGTTCTGATTTTTATTGTTTGTTTATGAAAATCCTCCTTGTGGTCCTAAGGATAAACTAATAAATTTTGCAAATAAATATTGAATATAATTTTCAGTTTTGCAGATTATGAAGTACAGATGTTAACCTTTAAGTACGATGCCTCCAAGTTCATGCTAATTTTCATGAACATTTTCGAAATATATGTACTTTTGAAATTACTATTGCAAACGAAATTTTCAATCCACGTTAATTAGCAAACAAACAATGAAATATGCAAAAATAGCCCTAACTGCGTTAGTTGTTACGCGATAAATACTGTAAACTTATTTATTGCATATTTATTATGTAAATCATTGATTGAATTGTGAATATTTTTACTTTTCTTACAATCTTATATGTTCTTTTCAATATTTATTTTTCTTGCAATTGTTTTGGCTCATATGGAGGCATGCATCTTTAAAGGTGCCATTCTTACCTTCCTTTCAAATTTACCATGACTTTGATTAATGCTTGATACGTGACATTTTATACGTTTGGGTCCGAAAGGTCATAATCATAGTTTGCCGGCCAGACAGGAGCTTTCACGTTTCAGATAAAAACAAGCCAGCTGTTATGTAAAGGTTGACTTTCAGAACATCTATTGAGCGAAACGTTAAAACAGTTTCAAACACATTTATTCGAAAAACAAAAGGAAAAAAACCAATCTATATGGAAAAATTCCTCGAACAATCCGTCAAATTGTTTATCCTTGCATGAATACACTTACAAATGTGTTCTGTTTTAGAGACTGTTTAATATATTGAATATAATTGATGTGTCAACATGTGCATTAAAGATTGTTATCGGCAGGCATATAAATTACAATGTGCTATGCACTAGAAAGCCGCGTGTCTCAATTTTTATTGTGTCTGACATTTAAAGGAGTCTGCCAATGATCTTCTTTATAGTGTAACCACATCAACTTTCATTCCTTCGGCCAATATTTGACCGAGACATATCATATACAATAAAGTGGAGCCAAATTGAAATACAATTTTCATTTTTATGTGGAACTAAGGAATTATATAACTTAATAACGTAGTCTTAAAAAATCGTTTTTGTAATATAGCTCAAGTTTCTACAGTTGTGTGTTCAACCACGGGAACTGAGTGTAGTGCTATCCCATTTGCGGTATGTGATAAACCTACTAACCTTAAATGTAAATGTAAAGACGGTTACAAGGAAGATTCAAATGGTGGATTTACTTGCATTAAAGGTTAGGGATTATAAATTTAAATTATTGTTTAAGAAGTACAATCATGTACATATACTTTCATATTCTTAATATACTCCGCACAATAATAAAGTAATTTTAAGTTACAGCATATTTTAGATTTAATGTCATTTAATGCACAAAAACCGTATAATACCGTTTAAAATGTATTCATAACTTTATTTACCCAAACCATTTAATTGACAATTCTGCATTTTCTTAACCAGTAGTTGAATAAAACAATACGTTCTATACAGATAAAATGTAAATGATAGTATTATTACGATATTTTATTTGTTGTAATCAAATAAATGTAAAACATATAGTTTTTAATCAACTATTTTCGTTTACACAAAAGTTATGATAATAGGGCTACTTAATATCATTATCTTTTCTTGATTTTGATTTAGTGCTAGGAACTCATTGCTCCGGAAGCAGTGACTGTACAGCTGACACTAATTCAGATTGCACAGGTTCTAAATGCACGTGCAACACAGGTTACGGCGAGAGGGACAATGTTTGCAAAAAATGTAAATATATCAATTTATAATATATTTAATTCTTACTTTATGATACATGTGCATTTTTAACACTTTATCTATTCCATGAACACTCCCTTAAGAGTATTTTCAAATACCATTAGTTATTCTATGGATGCCAATCTTGTCTCTACAGTGCGGACTTTAATATTATCCGTTTTAGTTCGAAATGTATATTAAACGACTTTGTTTGTTTTTCCAAACTAATATCAGTGTTGAATACTGTGACATGTTCGGCAAATGGTAAGGAATGTGACAAACCAGACCATGCTGAATGTGATGATGAAGGAAAGTGTACATGCGCGGCTGGTTTCACAATGAACGTCGACGTCTGCATAGCTAAGAATTCAGGTACAGTTACCTGCGTTGCTAAGCAATGAAAGTTTTTATATGTTTAGAAGTATGAATTACATGTAACATTATTTAAAACTTAATAAGTTTTAAATCAGTTATAAAGTAGTTGGAAGTAGGAATCTAAAGAAATATTCTCACCAAAATAAACTATATAAGAAATAATAAATCTCTAAAATCAAACTTCGATAATAGAAATATGAAGAAATGCCAAATTGGTGTATTTTATTTTTTGCAATTTTGTGACGACCCCAGCAACACTACTTTGTCGAAAACATTTAGCTTATTAGATTTGAGTTGTGTAATATTCATATTTAACATAAATAATTCATCTCTATTTTGACATTCTGGTTTTATATATGTTTAAAACTGATTTATTATGCCATGTTTTTAATTTTCTAATAGTTGATACGTTTTTGTAAGTTGATTTGTTTAAGGTCGATGTTTTGCAAATATGTTATATTTTGATTCAAGTTCCGTATGTATATTTTCTTGTTAAATGTTAACAAATAGAAACATTTTGCATGATGTTGTTTCATTGTATTGAGTATATAATGATTTAAAATATCGCGTCATGTGTATACACACATTAAAAAGGTATTATGTAATAAATGGCATTATAATGATAATACTGTATATCTTTTGTTCATATACAGCTTTTACAACAGTATTACTGTACATGACAAAATATATATACAAACTGTCAATCACGACAATTCTATTTTTGTATATATTGCATTTGATAAATGTGACAAAGTAATTGGGAGAAAATACTTCCAATTTATTTGATAATCTTGTATTAAGCCAATTACAAGCCAATCAAAAAAAAGGTTAAAAAATATGTGTTTCTAATAATTTCAGTGTAGGGGATTAAGTTATCTTTTAGTCAGTGCATGAAAGTATAGGCAATTTTGCACTAAAAAAAACTTATGAAAAAAAAAACAAAAAAAAAACAATCATTTTCTCTTATGTTTTGTATCAGATTTGTGTTTGTACGTTTAAAATATTATAAATATTAATTTCAAGGTACTACTCTGACAATGAAACTCGGTATCATTGTTCTAACCGTATTGGTTGCAATTCATGCGGCATTCAAGAGTATTAGCTGAAGGTATATATAACGTTGCCTGCCTTGATCGACGAGTTTTTTAATAAGATAATGCATTTGATGACTTTAAAACATACTGTAAATCTATGTATTGATCAAATCGTCGACTTATGAACATAAAAAGAACTCGATACTTAAAATTTGAAATTATCGTCTTAATTAGTGAACGGCAATGCATTTCTTACAAAATTTTGAATATAGAGTAATAATTATGAGTAAAAGTAACCTTTCTTTAAAATCAAGAAGGTAGTTTTGTTAGTATATCGTTCAATTTCTATACAGGTGACCTTTCGAAAATCCAACAGATAGTACAGTTAAATAACATGACATAAACTAAAATACTTTTTTTTTCAGAATGTCAACAGCTGACTTTATGGTTCGGATTTTTTTTCGGAAAGACTTATTTGTAGTATTCACTATTTTGTTTTAAAGAGTGACAATTTATTTAGTGGTTGAAGTGTTTTTGAAAGGGCTAAAAATATTAATTATATACGAAAAATTATTATCTACAAATCTACAAAGTGGAACATGTAAAAAATTATTCAGATATCATATTGATTACTTGCTATTATTTTAAAAAATCAAAACGAACATTGTCGTTGAATAATTGCACGATTATTAAGACCAACCATTTACTTATATGTATCTATGATTTTCTGTACTTGATATTACTTGTTATTTACTTGATTGTGAGAAAAACAAGAAGATGTATAAAAGTACAAGAAGTATGATTAGATTTATAAGTTAAAATATATTAAAAGATAAACAGATGTACAGACATTAAAGTTTTCAATCTACTGGCGTTTATTTATTCATTTTGTACGTATATGTCTTCAAATATTGTTTATAATAACGGTTTGTTTTATTTTAATTTTGTCTCTGGTTTTTTAAGAGTCAAGACAATATACAGTCGAGACTGCCTAAGCGACCCCCTAATAAGCATGAATCTGGAGGAATGCTACTTTAAGTAATTAATTCTGATAAGCATATGTTGTTCCGCAAAAACAAATTGTTATAAAATAGAGAATTAAGTTTCCCAAAAGAAAGCCAAACATTGCAAAATTGAAAATGTTGCAGGTTTGGTGTGATTAGTTTATGAACACTTTTCAGTTTGATTGAGCCTGTTCATGAAGGAAGTGGTAATTGAAAGCTACCGTCAACGCCCCCTAACACCGACTTAATCGGAATTCAACATTTAACATGAACTGGTAAAACGTTGAACTTTTATACATCCGCAGATGTTTTCAAACCATCACACTTAAGATCACTTGCGATTTAGATAAAGCTCTTTTCGTCAGAGAGTGTGTTTTATTACACACATTTAGAATGATAACTCTTTCCAAAACAGTGTTACCATTCAGTTTTAGTTGTTCTTCTTTGTAAACAAATATCCTTTATTTTTTATCTCTTTATTAGAAATTCATGATGAAATATAACGTTTATCTCGGTAAAGAACACACGTTACAAACTACTTAAATTTTGATATTGATTATACTTTTGTTTAAGTGTGATATTCATTTGCTATTGTTTTTGTTATCATAATTATATCTGCAATAAATTTAAAATATATTGAGTAATTTGCATCTAATGTATTGGCAACCTCATTTTAACATGTTCCATTGTTTGGACTTAATTAACTTTGCATAAATACATTTAGTAGTTTTAAGAGTTTCGATGTAATTGTTCATGAGTGAAGGGAAGGAAACTTCTTTATTTCAAATTTGGAAACAAAATGTTTTGACATCAATTAAAAAATATAACATATTGGTAATGAATATCAACAAACAATAACAACAACACTAATAGACAAAGAAACGTAACAGAAATACAGATATTTGAATTAATAATTTAATAACGTACTGGAATGTTTAATAATGTCAATTTTTAATTATGTGACTTACCAATGATACTTATATCAAGAAATCATAAATCAAACGGAGGACGAGCAAGCACGCATCGATTGAACTGATGAAAATTCGCTTGACGAATCAATTGGTTAGTTAGTAAGTTAGTTACTTAGTTAGTTACTTAGTTAGTAACTTAGTTTTTTAATTAGTTAGTTACTTGGTTAGTCGGTCGGTCGGTTAGTTTGTCAGTCAGACAGTCTTTGGAAGGACGCGGTAAATCCCATAAGCACCTTCCTTAACAAGATGAAGTATATTTTACATGAAAAATGTTGACTTTATTAATAGTAACATAATAATCGTGTAAATGAAAGTATATATCATAAACAAGAACAATTTTATTCGATATATTTCATTATCATTCTTAATGAATAATAAACGTTAAGTAAATTCCATATAACTCACTGCATCACATAAAGTTATATTCTCTATATACTGCAAAATGCAATTGACAAATTTGACCGAAAACATCAACATCATATCTCTCTTTGCGCAATTCTTATTTTTTAAGACATCGTTTCTCATATTTAGTTTAACATTCAATTTTGCTTAGTGTAAAAGGGGGGTCATTAATAAAAAATATTTAAATCATTTTATACACTTAAATCATTCTAAAATGAATGACATTATTTTTGTTAAGTCCCAGCATAAATTTCTGTTGAAACTGTTTGAATTCTATATATTTATGGTTTGAAGTGAACATATATCTATTTATGTTAAACGAAATCTAAACGCCGTCTGAATCACCGAGTAGTTTTAAAACAAGTCAAGTGACTTGAACATCTTCTTAACGCTCTAACCTGACCCCGTGAATCAATTTAGGAAACCATCATTTTCTTGTTTATAATGAGAAAAGCTTTGTTCCTGTGACAGCCTTATGTATTTTTTTGAGGACTGTTGCAGAATAATGAATGAACAATTCAAACCGAAGAAATGAAAATTTTGACTGTGTCTTCTTTTAAGAATAAAGCAGTTCTTAATAATAAAAAGCTCGTATTAAAAAGTGTTTGACTATAATGTTAACAGTGCAGTGACACATATAGAGTATTGAGTATGGCGTTGTAAATTGAAATTAGAAGGAATGTGTTTGTTGTCTCTTCTGCTTCACTTTGATTGTTCTATTAATTTCTTGCCGAATCGTAAGTGCATGTATATCTAAAGTTATAAACAGCAATGTGCGCTTGTAATTATTGAATGAAACAAGTAAAAAATAGCTAGCCATCCGTTAGCGTTAAGATATAATAACATACATAATGTCATGAAACGCAACTTAAGTTAGTATGGTTTCAATGGTGCACAGTGTTTTCTTACATTGACAGCTGGGATGAGATTAAAAAAATGTCATCGCCTTGTCAAAATTTTTCGGCGTAAACTTGACTAGAATGATATTTTAATGTTACTTTTACAGGGTTAGCGATATCATAGTGTAATGGTTATCTAATAAAGCGTGACAGTTTTGAATATTTGCATCACGTTGCTATAATAAATCTTACTATATGTCATTTATAATAACGTGCACGGATTATCAAGAGAGACACGTTTGACTTTGTCCGTACATGAGTTAAAGGGCGAATATAAAATAAAACCAAAACGATTTCTTTGCGCGACTTGTTTTCGTGACCCTTATATTTATTCCTGGATGGTTGTTCCTTTAAATAAGAATAATTATCATTAGAATATTTATCAACAAACGTATTTCCAATAAACAATAATGTTCAAAATGTAACCATTAATAGCTAGCCAAGGATGATTTTATAAAATAAAATAATACGATAAATATTATATAAAACACGGTATGGATTTTGTTCAGCAGTTTTAGATTTTTATTTACTTTCATTGTTTAGCTGTACTGAAAAAAAAACACATGTATAAGGTCTATCAAAATTTAAGCGTTTTAAAACCTCTTTTAATCATAATTTAATAATGTTTTTGTCGAATTTATCTTGACCATTTTTTACAATAGGTTCTCCGACGATGCAGATGCTATCGAATTTATTTTGTTTCGCATGATTTAAAAAGATTAAAAACTTGATATCATTTATAAATGTAAGTAAGATGTCTGTATGTAAATAATACGTACATAAATGGTTTACTTTTAACCATGATTAGTAAAATGAAAGCTTGTATGATGTGCATCTTTAAATAAAGAATTGAAACATGCTCAAATTTGTTATTCAAAATTGCCAAATCCATATTTTAAATATTTGAAAATATTAAACTATGACAATATTTCCATGAAACTTATTTTATAAAATGAATATTAAGCAACCTGAAATAGATGTTTGAGAAATAAAATAAAAAATGGCACATAATGGGTTGTTGAATATAACAATTTATTGACCAATCTATTTTCCTTTTTAATAAATGACCTTTTTAAGTTAACATTGACGTAAGCTACAAGAATAGTAACATCAGTGTATTTTCTCACGCTATTTTCCCGTGACGAATTAAGACAATTCCAATTTAATATTCATAATAATAAAATGTACTGCCAAATATTGAAATGCTCAAGGTGAAAAATGAGAATAAAAATATTTTTATCTCTTAAATCTAAACACATATTGACTAAATAAACGATTGTCAAAAAAAATGCACTCTCAATGCCACTGTCACAAACTGAGATGTATCCTAAAGTATTATGGATTACATCTTACTGCAACTTCAATCAATCTATATTATGAATGTAATTATTTATGACAGTATAATCTGCAACAGTCAAACAACTTGACTAAAACAATCTTCACGTAATGCTTGTGAAAATTAAATACTTTTTGAGAGAAACAATATTTACTTAAAGTCTGTGATTTAGCCCATTTATTCTTACAACGTGTTTCCGTGCCTTAAGAAAGATTACGATATAACACTAAGCTTTCGTTATTGTGTCGATATGTCATTCTTACAGACCCCCTAAGAAAGATACAAGGTACACAATATTGGTTGTTAATCATATTAACACCCAGTTTGCTGAGCGGTTGTTTAAGGTTGTGAGAATGTGCCTTTCGTTCAGAGGAATTCAATATCCGATTGTCTTTTTGCTTTTTCTATCTTTCTCTTTCAGTATGAAAAACTATTCTTTGCATTATTCTATATTTTAATCCCAATACCCATGTTAAAACAATTTGATTGATCTTTTCATATGAATGCGTGTATATGCAAATATATTAAATAACCAAATCGAATAATTGATATAGCATTTAATTGAAATGATATTTTTAATTTTATCTTTCATACTTTTGTAAATGAATGAAGGCATACACCTATAATTATGATGATTTTGTTAATGTGTTCTGCAGCATCGAATAAGTGTCAAGGTCAATTGCTTATTTAGATTAATCCCCGTTTGAGCAGAGGGGGTCATATTAATGAATTCATCGTTCAATCGAAAAGTATAGTAAGTATGTATAGTAACAGGATGGATAATGTTTCATGGCTGTTTAACACCAGTTATTATCTTCCGTATGTGTAATGATAAATCACGGGTAGTGTTAGAATTATTTATAAACATTGTAGCTTCTTTCTATTTTAAATATATAAAGTAAAATAAATTATACAAAAATTAGAACACACATATAAATATTGACTTTATTTTTATAAAATGATGAAATGAAATAAGATGTAAACGAATATGAAAGTATATAAACACATACACACAAAACATTAAAGATAACGAAATGGAAAAAATTAGAACAACCTTGCGTATAGCATACGTACGCATATAAAGATGATAAAACACTCAAGTAATATATATAAAAACAGTGGAATTTTACAGTTCAGAATTGCAATTTTATACAAATTTTATGTTTTAACAAACATATTTTATCAATGTAAAGAAATAAACAGTTGCGTCTCTGTTAACTATGTATAGAAATATGCATTTGAATATAAATACTCACTGCATATTTCAATTTCTTTCTGTTAATCTTAAATAACATTTTTACGATGTCGATGCTGTTAAAACAATTTGCCGTATATATATATACAAAACTTGTATATACTTTTTACAGCTATATCAGTTCAATTCAGCAGCCTGACGTTTCTACTAAGCGTCTTTGTTATACATCAGCTATACTGGTAAATGTATATATATCAACATTCTTTATTTTAGAACATTGTATATCGCACGTATTAAATATATCCTTTTCAAATAGATCTGTAACTATTTTTAAAATATCATTTTAATTATTTATGAATAAAGTTCTGAATGGACTACATTGATAATAATGAAACCTTTCACGAGGATGTAATTTTCAATTTTTGAACCATGAAATTTTCGGTAAGTGAAACGTATTGAAAGAAGTATATTAATTATCTATTTCAGATTGAACCAGGAATATTCTTCCTTTTGGTGTTTGACATTTGCTGCTTGGACTTTGTGCACCATTGTATTTTTTTTTATTCACATGAAATTTGTAGATCAGCCATATGTGATAAAAGAGAGGTAATCACCTACGCAGGGTTAAATAAAATACAGTGTTTGTTTTATGTTTTTAAATTTTTATGTTTTTTTTTCTCTGTTATCTCTTAACTACTGTTATCATGTGTTAAAATCTTTAGAATGAAATTTTAAATCTTATATTAATCACACGTGTTTGTTTATATGAAAACATTTTGCTTGTTGGTTACTTAACGTTATCTATTCTTGTTTTTACCTATACGTTTTACCCTTGCAAAATGGGCTACTAATCAGTTGAAATAGTCACATACACGTCACATTTTAAGGAAATAATGGCTTATGGCAGGTCATTGTCAAAATTACAAATACAACAAGATTTAATTCAATTTACACTTGTCATTTCAAACTATCGTCAATTATATAACTAAATGCTTTGAAATGGGAATTGAAATATCACAAATCAGATTTAATATTACTTAAATGCATTCAACGGCTATTGATACTGACGAAAGCCAAATGATTATGTACAGACACACGTATTGTTCAAGAACTTTGTTAAAAGAATATCTAAAATAATTGATAGTTTATGTAGATTACCATCTAATACATGGACAATATTATTATAATATATTTTTAATATTGGTGTATGAATAATATTTTTTCACATAATAAACAGTAAAAAGCATTGCGTTTGTAGTTTCCTTTCATATGAGTTTGTCTTTCCTTAATATTTCCAAACATTAAGATCCGTTGGAAATACATGCAATGAAAAATTTTGACTGGCGAAGCGTTTCAGTTACTCAGCAATAAAAAGTCGTCCTGTCGATTTTCGTTTGCTCGCGTTTGAAAGGATCTTGTTAATTTGTTGGAAATATTTGTCATTCGAGACAACTTCATGTATTATGCCATATTATAATGTTTAATTAATAATAAGAGGAAGCTTTGATCCACAGACTTTCTTTTTTATTAATTAGAAAATGATTCATATCATATTATGAGGTCAGTTAAATCAATCTGACATCAATATTACTGTAACCTGTTAACATTTTACAATTTCGTTTCAAATCAGGTTTGTTCCTTAAGGGCTTATACATCTTTCAAAAACAATACTTACTTCCTTTTAATACTTGATACAGACAAAAATGTAAAATAGGACGTACTTAGAATGAAGGTTAATATTTTGAGTAATAATCAATTGTATCTACTTAGAATTGTCCTTTTAATAAGTGTTCAAGCTAAATTAGATAGATTGTGAGTACTTCATTTGCTTCGTATTATTACAAAGCTTTCAATGTAAATATTTGTATGCCGTGAAACCAGAGATGCTTGTTGTATCATGTTTATTGGAGTATATGATATTTGAAAATAGCAACACAAACATGGGTAATAATTTATGACATAATTATCTTACTCAAACACACTTCTTTTTATACAAATTAATAAATAGTGTTATTGCAGTAACGTTAAAACGTGGAAACGCAGTTAGGTTGAAACGAAACGTGGATATTTTGCAGGAACTATGCACAGGGAAAAAACAAAAAGCATTCCGTTCAAATATACTGATACACGAACAGTCTGTGAAGTAAGGATAAAAAGGAAGGGTTGCATGCCTGATTATATTAAGTTTGAATATGGGGGCAATGCTTACATGTAATTCAAATAAGTACACATAATTAACTTACAAGTTTCACTACAAAGAAAAATATATTCAATGCTTTATGTATTGAAACCAGAAGAAAATATGTTAATTATTCTATTGCTCCTTGAAAAAGGTGTTTACTACTTAAAAAATCAAACAAAAATCAATTAGCACATATGTTAATATAAGACAACAATAGCCGCTATTAATATTCAAATAAAAGTATGTCATAAACAAGTACCTATTTGTTAATTATGAGTCTTTTTTAAATACATATGTTGTATCTATCATTAAAAACTGAAAGGTTCAAATTGTTTCTTTTTAAATATACATGTATATCAAAAATAATTACACTGACATATCAACATTGTTTGTGCAAACAGACTTTATGATAAAATGACAATATTTTAAACTTTCCTCGGAACATGACTCAGACGAACAGTGAATGGTAGCATTCATCATAGTCGTTTAAAAGTACATAGCAGTGTTTAATGTTAGACGTGGTCAGTAGCCCAATTTAGTAATCTAAAATATAAATAATTAAGTATAAAACTACCTGTAAATTCAGTAACGCAGGATGTGCAAAAGTAACGTAGAATTCTGCAATGCTTTGGCCGAAATGAGCACCACTGAAAGTAAATGAACCAATGTGTTAAATTAATAATTAATATAAGTGTCAGTCGAAATTGATAAAAGTATCCAACCTTCAAGAAAATATATAATATGTTTGGTTTATACAAAATATTTTAAACTTTGTATAGATCTACATGTTTGTCTTGGTTATTATTAAATCAGAAGGCCATACTGAAATTAAGTATATTTATTACTGTGTTAACTTTGTATGTTACCTTCTATAAATAAAGATTTTATTATTATTATTATTATTATTATGATTATCAAATTGAAAAAATGAATTACAGCATACGGCTGCTTAGACATTATGGTAATTTTAAACCTCGTCAAAAATATTTGCATGAAAATGTTTATTTTCCAAAATCATTCGTGAAAATGATGACCTTACTTGCATATTAATACAATGTACTTTTAACGACTTTTGTGTATCGTCGAAATATTTAGAGTAAACAGCGTACATATTACATTATGGATTTCGAGACATTTGCCAAACTACAAGTATAATTAGTAGATAAAATGTGACTGAGACCATTTTTACAAGGTAACGTCGAATTCGTGAAAGATTCACCGGAACGTCACTGATGACACATCAAAAGGAAGCAGACTCTTATTTTACCTACTTTCTCTTAGTGTTTTATTTGTACATTCCTGCGTTACGTGTGAAATGCAATAAGATATTTTCATTTAAATAATTTAAAACTCAAAGTAAGCACAGTCACACTGTAATGACATTAACGGATGGGATTTTTTGCATTTATATATATATATATATTTTTGGCAAACTCGATCTCGTACAATTAATCATAATGATCTTTTTTAATACGTTTTTATATGATAAGGGATTATCAAAGCTGTAGGGGGGTAAAAATATGGCCATGTCACATTTAACAGATTGATTTAGAAAAGAAGATGTCAAAATATGTAACCCTTTCACATGACATAAGATTTCGAAAAGAATTTGAGATGTTTATATAACATAAGTAACTTATTCGTGTGACTTGTTAATATCATGACTTCATATATAGGTCAGTCCATGATTTCAGGGTAGTTCTAGCCTTAATAATATAAAATAAAGGTACGAATTTCAGAAGAATTTTAATTAAAAGTGACTGAATCGCGAAAAGAACATTTTAATTGTAGCTATGAAATTATCACAGAATCTGAAAAGGACAACGATATGATAATGGACCAATATGCAGAACCGTAGTTTTGATTTGTTTAAAACAGCTAAAACGAATGATTACAAATCTTCAATGATATATTCAAGCGCATTTAAAACATGTTTATATATCATCGTGGTGATGACACGATGTAAATCTAAATATATTACTCACAAATGCTTGTCTCAAAGTCCAAAACTATCAAATTGAGCTATAAATTGATTAAAATAACATTTTAATCTTAGGGACGATCTTCAATCAATTTTCTTAATTATTGTGCTGTCGGTATTTATATTAGTTATAGGAATTCTTCAAAGACCTTTAAATTGAACTAACTAACATTCCTTAGCTACACTAAATACATATTTTAAAAAAGGCATTCGCGTAGGTCTTTATCAAAACTAATCAAAACAATTAATTTCATTCAAGAGGTTTATCAGGCTTTATTTAAACGATTAATCATTAACTTATTTAAATATAAGGATCTCTCATTATGCAGTTGCTACGGAATACCTCCATTCAAATAGAAGAAAATTAAGGTAGAAGTATATCTATACCTTAAAGGCATATTTTTTCTAAAGATGCTTATGACATGTACTTTGTAGACCTCACCAATGATGATATTTTACAGTGCCTCAATGATCATAACAAATGGCATTCAGGTGTATTTTTTTTGTTTATGATTAAAATAATACAAAATATATATCCACAACAATTAAAACCTTACTCTACAGCATTCTGAATGTACTTTTTCTGTTTGAGATGACAATCATATTATTTGTGAAGAAAAGGGTGGGTTAGATAAAATAAATTTCTTATTACTATTTACTTATTTACTATTGACTAAAAGAATCTAGTTACTTTAGAAATTTACTGGTTTTCCGTGCAGTGTCTTTTCTATGCACACATGTTTTACGCACCTTTCGATGATAACCTCTGTCGCAGTTACATTTACTATCTGCTTAATTGCACATGCTTAACTTCTTACAGCTTCTTACCGCCTGCAATGCATGTCATATCAGTGACATGTGAAAATTAATATATGATTAAATTATTTAAACTATAGTAAAAACTGCTTTGGAATGCACTAATAATGATATGCATTGAATAATATGTTTAGTCTTTGTATGTTTGCTCTTTGTTTGGTTATCACTCCGGTTTTTCACTATTTTGGTTACTTAGTTGAAGGATTTTATAAATAATGGCATTTTTTTCATAAAACTTCTAATTAAGTTTCTATACCTTTTAATTGGGTCTTTGCAGATACTTATTATAACTTCCTAATTATATTTGTATCTCCAAATTTACATATATCGTACAGACGCGTTTACTGTTAGCATTACTTTCACGGATTCTTATTTTGGGTAGTTGAATAGTATATATATTATATTCGTAGCTTCATAACTAAATTCATTTTAATCGTTAAAAAATAAAATGATATGCTTGCCAAGGTTCCCGTGAAGAAATCTTTTTTCAGTATTGAACTTTATACTCATTAAGTATGCATTATATATCACTCTGGATAGGTGTAAGTTCGTGATACGTTTCATAACAGTTAAATCAATAAAAATATTTGTATGTTTCAGTTGGAGCAAAATATATGTCCGCTAAGGTTTCCTTTAATTTATAAAAAAAATATGGAAATTTAAAAGATGTGTTAAAAATATAATATTTGAATGCATTTATTTCCTAGATACATTCGCTGGAATATAAAAAACGAATGATGTACAAAATAGAATTCGGTATTATAATCTGAAATGAATAAACAAACGTATTTTGTGCTATTCTAAGCCCGATTAGAGTTTAAAAAAAAACAACATTGCAATACTTTAATTTTTCAAATTATTTTTCACGATATCGCTCGTAGGAGGCATAAAGAAAGATTTATCGACAAAATAAAAAAAAAACTAATGATAAATACTCGTATTTAATGACACTTTTAACCGCCCTTAATGTGCATGATTTAGATTTAAAGCTTTTAGTAAATAAATGTTTTTCAAAAATGCTTACTAGAGTTGACATCAATGTTGCTTTAGTTAGGTGTCATATATATTTTTTGTATTATTAATATCAATAAGGATGAATTATCTTGTCGTTTATTTTGTAATCCACAAAAAACTATAGCTATGCTTATTTGCGAAGGTTTGATAATCATTAAGTCATTACTGGTTAAGATTGAAAATTTAAAGATAAAATGTTGGTGGAAGTTTACACATTTCGCTTTGACGAATAATATTATCTGCTCTTAACATG